GGCGGTGCCATGTGTCTCTTATCTATGTTGCTTGCTGACGAGATTGACTTTTCAGAATTCTGGGGTTTCACTCTGTCTGGTGGGCGAGAGCGTTTATCGGGGACAGAAAATGGGGTTGGCGCAACTTACTTTTCTTACAGTCCTGTCCTGGCATTCGCTCTTGGAGTAACCTGGCGACGCTTGACATGTCGGGTTTTGGCGCAAAAAGATTTTTTTCTTAGGTTTTTGGTTTTGGAGAAATAAGATTTAGGTTGCGCCGGGGTATGAGCTGAGGGGATTGCCTTAGGTAGTGGATTACCAAGTATCCCCTTCATCCCAGCTATTGGTCGAATAATGGGCATCTTGATTGGGCCTTTGACCTCCTTTGCTGGAGCGTTGGATGGTTTCATAGGTGATAATAACTTGCGGTTGAAGATCCCGACCATGGTTGGTTCATCCGTGGTTATTTCGGCGAAGCTTTTGTCAGGAGTGCTGGCGACTAACGGTGCAAAGCATAGATTCTTGTCCATTTGGGAGAGGAGATTTGTGATACCTTCTTAATATCCAGACGCGTAAGGTTGACTGTGATACGCGTTCACAGTTTCTCATCTATTTCTGCGCCACCAGGTTTTTGTCAGATTTCCTGACATGGAGAGAAATCTCGCGGGCTACACCTATGACATACTTACATCTTTTGATTATATTTGCCTGAGCAAGACAGTGCCATACTGTTGCGCTCTGGCTGAACTCGACCACGATACCTGTGATCCTTTTCTTGGTTTTTGTTCGAAGAGATGAATACATGATTGGGTAATTTGAGGCTATCCAGGATTTTCTTGAACCTATGAGCTGGGGGTGTTTCCCCTGGAAACTTTCCCCAGATTATCATGCGTTTACTGCATGCCTCTGTCTCAGACAGCTTATTGGCGTTGTCTAAGATGATTGGGTCTGATACCTTGAGGGTCATTTTACTGGCTTCGAATTGGAAAGAGAGACCTACAAGTAGTGCTTCCACCTCCAAAAACTCAGCCTTCAGTTTGGCAAATTTCGTCCTTAGACTTAAGATTGCCTTGCTCTGTGATAAGATTATCCTGTTTTGTATCACTGGGGAAGTGTTAATTACCGTGTTATCAAGAGGCATAGGTAAAGTTTCCTCATTCAGAGATACATCCTGGATTGAGACAGTATCGTTATTTCCTGCTATCATTTTAGTTTTGATATAGCGATGATATACGAAAAATACGAAAAAGCACTAAATGGGAAATACAGTAGAGAGATACAGTAGAGCACGTAACAGTATTACGCACTAAATTTTGACTGTTGGGAAACAGGGAGCCGCGGCCAGAAATGTGATACCAAAGTTGTCAGAAAAACGATTAATAGCAAATAAAGCGAAAGGTTATTTCGAAAAAGTATACCTTTAGATTCAAAAGACGAATTATCAGAGCAAGCACTCAAACATTTCAACTTGGCGCCAACTCACCACCTTCGTGAGGCGTCTAAACTCGGATGCGGAGCAGTATACCATTTACGTTGTGTGCAGAATTGTAATCCGTCTTTGTGCGTACTGGCAATTGCTAAGTCTCGGGTTACTTCTTTACAAACTGTATGCATACCTCGTTTGGGACTGAATGCTTCCGTGTTTGTGGTTGAATTAGCAGAACTAGTAAACAAGGATTGTGAGATTACGCTTGCTGATGCAATTTACTGGACTGATCCTACGATAGTTTTGCATTATCTGAGGGATGAGAAAAGTCGATTTTCAACTTTTGTGTCCAACAGAATTTAAAATATTAACGGTCGGACACAACTGATGAATAGAAGCAAATCAGCGAGGAAGATAAACCTGCCGACCTCACGACATTTTCTAAAGTAGAAAAATGTAAAAAATTGCCAATTAGCTCCGACTTTCGATGATGTTAGGGATTTGCAAGTTCTCACCCCAAAAAAGTTGTTATTACTCAGAAATTATTAAACGGAGATAAACCATCTGAAAGTTCGCAGTCGTATCTGGCGAAGAGTTCAGGTATTCGTTGATACCTTTTGGAAACGATATAAGTCTGAATGCTTGGCCACTCTAAAGGAAAATCACAAGTGACAGGAAGGAGGTAAGGAGTTGAAGGCGGGAGACATGGTGATTGTGACCACTGAAGGTGTCCATAGAACTTGATGGTCATTAGGAGTTGTTATTGGGATTCCTCGTAGTGAATATGGGTTAATTAATGGTTCGCACATCTCATGAGACCCTGCGACGCGATGTTCACAAATTAGGTTGGCTAGAAAGTGATGATGTTTAAAAGGAAAGGTTCATCTTTGATTTTGGCCGATTGTTCTATCAGGGATTATTCCCTACAAGCATTGCTTTTCAAGATTACTTGATGTGTTCTGCTGATCACTTATTTTTAGCTAAGATTCACTTGTGCAACCTACCTGCGTATATATGACTGAGCCTGTGGGACTAGCATCAGTTCGTTGAAAGATGAAACACAGATGTCGTCTGGACAGTCAGTTCCCTTGTTGTCTGTTCATGTCCCGTTTATTGGGGTGTTTCAGTATTCAAAAAAACATTTTGCAGGAATGTTGTAGATGATGACGGTTCTCCGTCAGCCTCATTGTAGAGATAAAACATGATGGTGCACTTACCACTGGGTTAGACCTGGGCAAATCCTCGATCTGTTTAGACCAAGCCCATATAATGGTTGGTCCACAATGATAAACATGGCATCAATATTGGGTGCTATATTGCTTTGGGAGCTCACACTGATCGGGTGTGGGAAACAGGTTAAGTCGTTGGTTCATGCCACTTAGCTGTGGGGCCACCACCTGCACCAAGACGCCTCAAACAAAATAGGACCAGGTGTCATATCACTCTATCGTGGTGAATAAAAGAAGTACAACAAGACGGGTCACCCTTGGTTATGAGCAACACTTGAATTGATTTGGTTCATTTGCCGGCATTCATCGAACTCATGAAGAAATCAAATTTCTCTTTGTCCGTTTGAACGTTGTCTCATGAGGCTGACAAGAAAGAAAGCATCTGGTAGATGAAAGCACGTGATACCAAGAAGCTCTGGTCGGGTGCGAATAGTGGTTTTACATGAGGTTACTTTTATCAATCACGTTGATATTATTCTTTATAATTACTTGTTCACCATGTGTATTTAGTCTGAATGTCAGTTTGTTTACAAACAGTTACAGTTACATTACGGGTGGTTATCATATCAAAGCCGAGTGGCTTTCTGGAGGGGAGTGTTAAGGCGGCTGGAAGCACAGTAAATGATTACCAAAACAACATTTTGTTGACTAAAATAAGTTTTTGTCTTAAGTTTCTGTCTTTGAATTTGGCCTTTGTTTATCTGTACTATTTATTTTTTATTCCTGAAAAATAACGGTTTCAAATCTCGTTTGATTCCGCTCGGTTGAGCATTAAAATTCCACTTGTTCGCTTAATTGTACGGTCCGCCTACTCAAGATCATGATCAAGCACGTATACTAGATTTATTGTATCACTGTGCAATTTCAGATACCGTATTATACGTGACTCCACTATTGATCGGTGTTTGTTGTGTTCTATTGTTGTTAGACGTTCCAGTTAAGCGCTGTGTTTCCGATAAAGAAAAGTACCAATTTCGGGATCACGACGTTATTCGGTTGAACGATACGCGTATAAAACAGTTCGAAAAGGCGACCGTAACAGGTAGCTCGAAGCAGTGTTGTGAGCTGTTGCTTTGAACTTGACAAAACCGCAGACGTGTACTATCGCTCTGCGGAACCATCACATGTTCGCTTTCCTTTTCCAGAACCGCACTCGCTTGCGTTTACTTGAACGAAAGTATACAATTTTCGCAGTGCCTTGGGGTTAAGTCGGTCTCGTGCTCAGTGAGCACTAGATGAGTTTCCGTCAAGGTCAGGTAGAAGACCTCATCCATTAACATTCTACATAACGGTATGCGTATGTTTTACCTTATAAACTGAGGTGAAAGAAATGAATGCACCACCGTGTAGTACGTCCTGAAAACGTCCAAAACATTTCCAAAAGAGACCACCATAGGAACACTGCAAAGCTTGTGGTAACAGGTTCTTTTGTGAACCACATTTATGTAATTTTGACCATTGCTCAAGTACGAGCGCAGGAATACAGTTGAACAGTGGCACTCCTAACTATCTCTCATTTCAACACAATCGGATGCCGAGTAACTGAGATATATTTCGAGGACCTGCGTTCGTCACCAAGCAGTTAACCTACCACAAGAACCCGGGGCTACTCAAAACTTCCGTTCCCAAGCCCATCAATCCCCGTGAATGTAAGGGAAAGCTTCCAACCATGTGTCAAGGTCATCCACTTTTTACTCTTCCGAGTACTCGGAAAGAGGGACTAGTCGGGATCGAGCGGAAAACCAGCTATTGTGTTGAAATATAATTCTTTCAACATATTTTAGGCTTAAATCCAGTCATTCAACCTGTGTCCCTAAAGCATTCTGTTGTTTAACTGCTCTAACGACGCGTTGTCGCCATTGTTCTGGTTTTGGCAATTCCATCACTGATTTTCTAGATCATGGCGGATGACATCGATGTTGAGGCGATGCTGGAGGCGCCTTACGCGCGTGATGTAAGTTAACTACTTTTTCTGGGGAGGCTAGGTAGCGGGTTTATCGACGTGCAATAATTTACGGAACATTCTTTGTATTTTGTTAGGCTGACCGAGGTTAACGACGTTGACGTCGACCCGGGCGTCGGACCCCTTCCTCCCCCAGCTGTAGTTGTCGCTTGATTATTTCGGTATGTTACACCAACGGGATTATTTTCTGCTTGTCTTTTCTTATCCCTCTCCACACCCTTGAAACTGCTAATGATGTTGTCAATCGATAGGGCCATGCCAAGTCCAATGGTCATCGGAGGCGCGATCGCTCCCGTTCCAAAGAACGCAGTCGAAGGTACAGTTGTGCTTTCAAATAATCATTAGCTCTTAGACATCGTTCACGCAGCCGCAGCTACGATCGACGTCGGGATCGTGAATTCGACGACAGGGGTCGGTATGATCGGTCGCACCACCACGGACATGACCGAGATAGGTATCGGTCCTCTCGGTATGATGATTCCCGCGAGTATGAAAGAAGACCTCATCGCAGCAGTGAAAGAAAACACAAATCGTAAGTGGCTGTTTCAAATCGTCATCATATTTTTTAGGCCCGAGCTAACGCCTGAGGAACGGGACGCAAGAACCGTCTTCGTGTGGCAACTGTCTGCTAGAATCCGACAACGCGACCTGGAAGATTTCTTCACATCCGTTGGTAAAATTAAGGATGTACGTCTCATCATGGACAACAAGACAAAGCGTTCTAAGGGGATAGCGTACGTTGAGTTCCGAGAAGTAGAGTCAGCTCAACTAGCCTTGGGTTTGACTGGTACTCGCTTGCTTGGTGTTCCAATCCAGATTCAGCAGAGCCACGCGGAAAAAAATCGTGTGAATGCCACTCCCGCCGTCCCACGTCCAGCACAGCAAAATAGGGGTCCAATGAAACTGTACATTGGTTCACTTCATTATAACATCACAGAGGAAATGCTGAAGGGGATTTTCGAACCATTCGGGAAGATCGAGGAAATCAAGCTGATAAAGGATTTAACCACCGGTCGCTCCCAAGGTTACGGCTTCGTTACCTATGCAAATAGTGATGATGCAAAGAAAGCACTAGACCAACTGAACGGTTTTGAACTTGCCGGTAGACCGATGAAGGTACGTGGTATTGTTCTAATTAATTGTTGCTTTCCAGGTAAACCATGTCACCGAAAGAGGTGAGTACGGAAGTCTTGGTGCTCTGGATAGTGACGAAATCGATCGTGCTGGTGTCGACTTGGGAACTACTGGTCGTTTATCTCTGATGGCGAAACTCGCAGAAGGTACTGGTCTTGAAATCCCGAAGGCTGCTCTTGCACAACTTCATATATCCCAGGCCAATCCGGCACTTGGCTCAGCCGGGAGTGTTAGCTCGTCTTCCGCAATCGCACCTCCCGTATGCACTCAGTGTTTTATGTTATCCAATATGTTTGACCCGCATACCGCAACGCATACTATGTTCAATGAAATTCGGGATGACGTAATAGAAGAGTGCACCAAGGTTGGTGGCTGCTTGCACATCTTTGTGGATCAGACAAGCGCTCAAGGAAACGTCTATGTCAAATGCCCTAGTATCGCTGTTGCCACACAGTGCGTCAATATGCTTCATGGCCGTTACTTCTCTGGTCGTTTGATCACAGCGGCGTATGTGCCCTTAATCAATTACCATCAACTCTTCCCAGATTCCACAACCGCCAAAACTCTACTTCAACCCTCCAGCTAAAGATGTATATAATTTACATAAGTTATTTCGAATATTCAAGTATTGTACATGTTATCTATCTATGTTTCTACACGAGGGACATTCTTTTGAACAAAAATTCAAAAATGCGCTCTAGATTGATGTTCTTCAGTCAAGTGTCTATTCGGTCTCGGTATCTAATGTCGCCCTTCAGGGTTTCGTCATCGGTCTTATTAGCCTTCAGAGGTTGAGTGGCGTGTTAGGGTTTGTTGTAGAGAGAGGTTTTCCTGGTGCTCTGGTTGTGCCTTTGACCCTACTCTTACGATTCATATCTAGTACCGGATTAACTAGATGTCAGTGAGCTATATGTTTATCAAAATGAGGCCTTCCGAGTGTTTCCCAGATTCCACAACCGCCAAAACTCTACTTCAACCCTCCAGCTAAAGATGTATATAATTTACATAAGTTATTTCGAATATTCAAGTATTGTACATGTTATCTATCTATGTTTCTACACGAGGGACATTCTTTTGAACAAAAATTCAAAAATGCGCTCTAGATTGATGTTCTTCAGTCAAGTGTCTATTCGGTCTCGGTATCTAATGTCGCCCTTCAGGGTTTCGTCATCGGTCTTATTAGCCTTCAGAGGTTGAGTGGCGTGTTAGGGTTTGTTGTAGAGAGAGGTTTTCCTGGTGCTCTGGTTGTGCCTTTGACCCTACTCTTACGATTCATATCTAGTACCGGATTAACTAGATGTCAGTGAGCTATATGTTTATCAAAATGAGGCCTTCCGAGTGTTGCACAAAGCAGGTTCGCTGTATTATAGATTTTATATTTTATCAGCCTAAGGCCGGACTGCAAAATCAAGGCACAACAATCTTTATGAAGAGAGCGGTCGGACAACCAAAGCCTGACCCACAGCAGACAGATGGGTGTCCTGTGAAAACCGCAATCCATCGGGCCCGGTGTCCAGTTCGTCGAATGGACGGAGTCAAAAGTCCAAGGTGCTCAATACACTTCGATGTTCAATCGAGCCGGTGATCACTGCCACGACTGGGAAGGTCTGTGTTTGAGGTTTGTACGCCTTTTGGTTCGTTTGGCATCAGTGTTTTAGCCAACTCCCCTAGGTGGACTGTCAATGGTTCACCGATCCGGATGTTGGCTTTTCTTCCTCACTTTGGTGGGAGTGCCAATGGAAGGCGCTGGGTAGGGCTTCCTCAGCAGAGGCGCTTGGTCGTCTGGGAGCATTTCGCGAGGTGCAAGGGAGGGGTGACCAGCCGCAACCCGAAACGCCCACCGTCGACCATGCCGAGGCTTTTCTAGGCTATTTTTAGCCGTTACCAGTGGGATTCCTCGGCCGTTTTGCATAATCATGCGTTTCAACTTTACACTGCAATGCACTACTTACGCGGTCAGAACTCGGACACGTCTTTCTCTTAGTTCTCCCGATACCGAAGCTAAAATTTGTGTGGAAGTATCGGCCTTCTGTCCATTATCTGCCACCTACAATCAGCTTTTTGTTTCAGATCAAGTGTGAGCCTTTTATTACTTCCGGACCTCTGTCAGTCCATGAATGATTTGACAACACTCGGCTTTTTATTATACATTTTTGTGATGAACAGCTGAAGGGGTGGATTTCAGTTACGAGGACTCGCTGTTCAGTGATGGAAACCGGGAACCTAAGCCCCGTGACTTGGAGTGGCGAACCACATAAGGTCCCGCTGTGTTAGGCTTTGTATTGAACCAGGCGACAGCAAGGCTGCCTACCACCAAGTGGTCTCATGGTGCTTGACTGTTACTAGATTGTAGAACTGCTAGTTTCGTTGATTGTTTCATGTCTCCAATTTGCATATACTACAGGAGGCTTCCATACTTCATCCTGCACTTTTGTGAATAAGTGAGATTGCGCCTGTTGGAATGCTCATTTTGTTAGGTTTACTGGTACCCATCATGCGTTGCAATTAGCATGGATGCGTCGGTCGCCTTGGGTTTTCATGTGTTGATTGGTCATTATGATGTTTGTTACCGTTTCAGTTGTAGTGTTTGGCCCATTTGGAAGTGAGAACCATGTTAGAGAGAATGTGGTGGTGATGCAGGTTTGTGAATATATCATTCATCCCTGCTGACAACCGTGTACCAGTTTTGAGTCATTTTGTAGGCGCTACTGTTTTGGTTATCCGGGCACGGAATCCACAGGAGACTGGTGTAGTAATCCTCTAGGGCTGAGCCGCAATTTCCTGGTTGGCATCTCAATCGTTGCGTGTACATATCTGCACACTTTTATCGACAAACTAGTAAATGACTGTCGGGACAAAGCATTAAAGTGAGGGCAAAGGATTTAAGTGAACTGTTCCGCTTTAGGTGGAGTGAGTTTTGTAGGTGTGCTATCGTCACGTCAGCTTCTATGATAAAGTGTGATATCGGGCGAAGAGAATGAGCAATGGGGATGTGCTGGACGAAGAACTATCATCATCGTCGTACAGCGAAATACAGTGAAGCGAACTTCACTGACCGCTGCCAAACTCGGAATGCATACAAGGTTAGTGGTAAAATTTAAGGTGGACAGGGGTTGGGTCTCTCTTGAGGGAGGGAGAAAAAGGTGAGCCACTGGTCAACACAGAGCACACAATCGAGCTCTGCATACATACGATTTCAAGCATTCTGACCTGGTAAGAAACGACAACAAGAACGTCACTGCTGCTGGTTCGCTGCCATATCCTTCAATGTCTCCAACCAACCAGTTGTGGAGTCTTTCGGACCCGAACCTGGAAGGTGAGAGACACCTACTCCACCTAATGACCCTGTGCATTTCTTCATGCCTCGTCTCCACGTCATCTGTTGACTATTATGTAATCAATAGAAGGGAGCCGATCTAAAGTTGGTTCCAACGGCACTTCTCAACTGTATCTAGAATGTGGTTACCCTTGGAGCATAGTAGCGTCCAGCCTTCACTGGAATGTCGACACTGGCGCCTTAAATCATTTGTTTTATTAGGCCTTGTGTGATGAACATCCCCCCAGGCACCTGGTGCCCACTCACGAAAACCCCTGAACTGACGAGCCACTGTGGAGACTGCAGTCTCATGTGGAGCTTTGAATGCTGACGGTCCATCTCATTACGGGTTATGGACTATGGGTGGGCTCCCAATCTCAATCTTACTATCAGCTTGCGGATTGTAGGTGGTTGTATGACTGACAGCCACTTCTTTATCTTCTACGAAAGTTATTAGTTTCGGCGGTAACAACGATGGACTCAATCCGAGTAGATATATGCCGCGTACCAAAGATCTAAAACAGTCAGCTGAGGCGGTTAATGACCCGAGACGAGTGCGTATCTGGACAAGCGAATGGGAACCGCGAGTATTCGTATATAAGCGTCAGAATGTACGGATTACGAGACGTTGATGCTAATGACCCTTTGAAGTCGACAGCCTTTCAAGTGGTTACGTAGCCTTGAGAAAGCGCGATTTCATCTCGGTGCATATGGTGTCATTATTTCAAATTCCTCAACTGAGTACGGCAAATTTGTGGAGCGCACAAGGATGACAGCGAGTCGTGTAGATTCAGTTTCTGGGAGTCGAATTTGGAGGCACACTTCACGGGGAAGGGTGCATCTGCAACTGAGTCGTCTTTACCGGGACGGTATACAATGTCCGAATGGTAAACCGACAGCTCTAGTTTCTATCTCTGAATTTTGATTGTGAATGTTATCGAGCGTATGGGCTGCCGAACGTTGATCCGTAATACGTTCTAAGTGTCTACCCAGAAGATAGTGTCGCCACTCGCGAATTGCTTCTATTATGGCGCAGGTTTCGTCTTCGACAGCGGAGTGTCTTCGTTCACCTTGACTCAGTGTGCGAAAAGAAGGCTACACAGCAGTTGTTCTCTGACCCGATGAGCTTTCCTCAATCCAGGAGATTTTAATATTCCTGGAAGGTCAATGGGTAGAGGTCAAACAAAGTTCAGTCTCCAGGTTGGGGGGTCGACTGGAATTTTCGTTTCAGTCAGTAAAAATGATAGAAGAGTGACCGATGGGCCTCCACTTCGCTTCACCCGCTGCCTTGCGGTTAGATTCCTGTCAGGACTACAAGCTTTGGACGAGAACCCCAATCGTTCTGCTTAGCGGCTGGACACCCTGGCAGTACCCCTCCAAACTAAGAATAATTCCATACTGCATCGGTCGTCGCGCAGGATAGTTAGAACCGTGTTGCCCATTGCATCGAGCGAAGTTAGTGATGCTAAATAAGCTATTGCTCAAATATACCAATCTTTGTCTTCAGAACCCAGCCCTACCTAATCAACTCAGACGGAGATGGTTCACTTATTGAATGAACGTGATATCAACTAGTCGGGGAGAACCCGAGTGTTAATATCGACTTCCATTCGCGACGGTAATGCCCATTATTGTTAGGGACCAGCAACCCCGCACTAGAATCAGAACACAAGAGAGCGTGCTGATCGGAACCGGGTTAATGATTTAATGAATGGTTGTGAAAATGCATCAAGCAGTTAAACGATAGTCTAAGGCTAGATCAAACCGTCTCACGGACTGAACGGTTTGGAAGGGTGTCGGTCAGTGTCTGTCGTGAAAAGCTGTATCACGTGATTTGACGACCAGTCGGAACCGATGGACGGATGCGTACGGTCATTTTCGCGAGTAAACCTTGGTGCCAAACTCGGACGAAGTCTTTTGAAGTTTCAATAGAGACTAAGTGTATTTCTTCGTGGTTGTCTAATGCAGCCGACCAGGAGTGTGAACAAGAGCCAGCAGTTGTCGGTAGAACGATACCATCGTATGGCACACTAGCGGACACCCAGCAGTCCGCGTTTGAGGAACACGCAGTTGATTGTAAATGATGGCTTCAAGTACTTTCGAAAGGACAGATGTAAGGGACTTTGGTCGGTAGTTATCGGGTCAGAAACCTCAACGAGTTTGACAATGGTAAAAATCACTGCTGTATTGGGTTCGCGAAGGAATGTCGCAGAGGTATACACCTACATACTTCTGATAGTGTAAGGTCCTACGGTAGGCTGAGCAAATCG